TTAAAAAAAAATAAGGTTTTAAGGAGAACATCCTGGGTGGGAAAAGGCCTTAAAATTGAATGGAACAATTTATTAGTAATAAAGGATAGCATTAAACTAGTTTTGGATTAAGCCTAATAGAGTTATTTGTATATTAAAAATGTTCCTCTTATTTCCCATGAGTTTTTTTTCTTAGAATTACATTTTAAAAACATGACCACAGACTGAAAGTAGTTTGGGCTTCAGGGCAAGTTGTCATTGTTTGTTTGTTTGTTTTTTAATGTGAGGGGGAAAGAGTAGAGTTAAAGCTGGAGAGACCTCATCAATTTCAGACCTGAGGGTTAGCAGGCGGGAAGTGAACCAGGTGGCGAGGAGGGTAAATAACCTAGCAGGGCAGTGATCGAGAAGCAGAGTAAGGCTAAAGGGAGATGGTTGGGACTTGGATGGAAATATGATGATTCCAGTTCATACATGCAAGAGCTTGTTCCAAATACAATATGTTTATACACGTTCTGCGACCAGTGGGTGACCACAGACAAGTTCTCTCAGGAATACTAGTCCCATGAACTCAGAAAAACAAAACGCACTGCCATCAAGTTGATTTTGACTCACAGCAATCCTAAAAACAGGGTAGAACTGCCCCTGTGAGGTTCTAAGACTCTCTTTTTAAAAAAATCATTTTATTGGGGGCTCATACAACTCCTATCACAATCCATACATCCATCCATTGTCCAAGACTATAACTCTTGATGGGAGTAGAAAGCCTTATCTTTCTTTAGCGGAGGGACTGGTGAATGAGAATGACAGACCTTGTGGCCAGCAGCCCAATGCACAACCACTATGCCACAGGGGTCCTCTATTGTCTCGTTAGGGTGCCTTTAAAAATGACCCAATTCCAATAATGAGAGTAGCGATACCAGGAGGGTAGGGGGAAGGTGGGGGGAGAAAGGGGGAACTGATCTCAATGATCTACATATAACACCCCCCTGGGGGGGGGGAGAGGCAACAGAAAAGTGGGTGAAGGGAGCATCGGTAAGAATAAGACATGAAAAAATAATAACAATTTATCAATTATCAGGGGGAGGGAGAGTGGGGAAGGGAAGGGGGAAAATGAGGAACTGATACGAAGGGCTCAGGTAGAAAGAAAATGTTCTGTAAACGATGATGACAACAAATGTGCAAATGTGCTTGACACAATGGATGGATGTATGGATTATCAAAAGAGCTGTATGAGCCCCCAATAAAACGACTTTTTAAAAAAAGGTCCAATGAAAGCAGTATCTTCCGAGGGCCAGTGTATTGTTCAAGTCAAAGAGGCCAGCTCAGAAGGTCATGGTGACTATTTTGGGAATTCCAAAGGGAGAATCGTGAAAGATTTTCTCGAAGGACACACAACCATTATGACTGATCTAAGAATTTGAAAGCCACCTTGTTGACAAAAAGGCAGGAAAGTTGTGCAGAGGACATTTTTTTCCCCCATCATAACAGTACCTGTTCCATCTTCAAGGGTTGCAAACCTTACCCTAGCCCTCATGCTGCCCCTGCAGACTTCTTCCTGTTCCCCACATTTAAGACTA